GCCTGACCTCCGCCTACCTCCCTCCCCCGCCGAAGGCAAAGCCCATTTGGTGGGGGCCCTGCCAGCTTGTTCTCTGGGAGAAGAAGCTGTAAGGATGGATTCAGGGAAGGGTCACTGTCCCCTGCGCTGGCTGGACTCTTACAGGGACCAGAACCAGATGCAAGCAGGGATCCCTGGAGAGCGGTCTGCGGGGCACCTGAAAAGATAAGAAAAGAGTGGCCGTTTCTCCCATCATCATCATGGTTGGAATTACAGACTAACAACTCATCTGGGCATGATTTTACCGCCTTTAACCCCTCGTGACCCTCATTCCCTTTCCTTAGCTCTCGAACCTTTAGCGAGTTTCCCTACAGACCTGGCTGCCAGGGTTGCCTTTGGTGGAGGATCTGGGGTCCCGTGGCTCTGGGGTAAGTGACCCGGTCTCCTGGGGCAGGGGGACAACCTGGGTGGGCTGGTTTGGGGTGTACGTGAGGTTTCCTCACAAAGTCCGGCTTGTCTGAGAGTATCTGAGGGGACTGGCTGTGGCTCCGGGGGTCAGACGGGGGCAGCGGGATCCAGGAGTTCACACTGGGTGAAATCTGCTCACAGAGCACCACCGGCTGGGGGATCTGGCCTCTGTTTCCTGACACCTTCCCTGAGCCCGGGGCACTGATAAGTGGAGGTCAGCCTCCAGAGAGCGGGACGAACTGAGCCCTGCAAAATCAACCTAGAAGGACATTTCTCCTTCCAGGGCGTTCCCGCCCACCTGGACAGCTGGGTGAGCCACGGCCTCCCCTTCCCACAGCCCTCCTTCCCCAGGGGAGCTCAGCCAGCCGGTGCCTCCTTTCCTCAGCTTACGCCCTTGCCTTGGGGGAGGGGGTCTAGGCAGGACTCCTGGGTTCCATTCCCTGGCCCTGCAAGGGGAGAGGGGTCCAGTGGTTAGAGCAGGGCCCGGGGGCCAGGACTCTTGGGCTCTATCCCTGGTCGCCAGAAGGGACATGGTCTGTGGGTTGCAGGGGTGTACTGGAGGTCAGGACATCTGGTTCTCTTCCTGCCAGCATCACTTGTAGCGCAGATAGGCGGGGGTGGGGCCCGGCACGTGGACGGTCAGGGGACAAGGAGCTTAGCAAATGCTTGCCGTGAAACTCGCTTTATTCAGCCAATGCATGTGGTGCAACCCACAATCTCCCCAAAGAGAAGTTGCACAGCGGCTGCTGGCGATTGCACTGCACCCGGGCACCCAGCAGAAGGGGAGGATGCCAGGCCGGGCTCAGGGCTCCTTGATGCCCACGGCCCCTGGGAGCTGGGAAGGCACTTGGCCTGGCTCAGCACCTTGTGCACGCCCTGGGCGTATTTCTTCAAAAACGCTCTTCCTGAAGTAAGGCGCCAGGGGAGCCACATCCAGCCACAATCTTCCTCAGTTTGATGTCACCTGGAACAGGCAACGTGATCAGGGTGCCCCCAATTCCCCCCAAACCCACATGAGGTCCTCCCTCGAAATGGCACTGCACCCGGCTCTGCAGGCAGACTGGGGTCTAGTGCTCAGAGCAGGGGCCTGGGAAACTGGCACTGATAAGAGGACGGCCTCCTGGGTCACCCCAAAGTTCCATCTAGCCCAGTATCCTTCTGGCCAATGCCAGGTGCACAAGAGGGAATGAACAGAACAGGGAATCATCCAGTGATCCATCCCCTGTCGCCCATTCCCAGCTCCTGGCAAACAGAGGCTAGGGCCACCTTCCCTGGCCCATCCTGGCTAATAGCCACAGATGGACCTGTCCTCCAGGAGTCCTCTAATTCCCGCTTGAACCCTGTTATAGTCTGCGCTGTCACAACTTCCCCGGCAATGAGTTCCACAGGTTTCTTGTGCCGTGCACAAAAATTCCTTTGGTTTGTTTTATACCTGCTGCCTGTGACCCCCTCTTCTTATGTTAGGAGGAGTAAATAACACTTCCTTCTCTTTACTTCCTCCACACGCTTCAACCTTCTTTAGACCTCGATCATATCCCCCCTTAGCCGTTTCATTTCCAAGCTGAAGAGTCCACTCTGTTTACTCCCTCCTCATATGGCAGCCATTCCATCCCCTTCATCATTTTGGTTGGCATTTTCTGAAGCCTTTCCAATTCCAATAGATCTTTTTTGAGACAGGGCTTACCTCACATCCGTCCGCAGTGTTCAAGCTGTGGGCGTCCCATGGATTTATATTGAGGCAACATCAGATCTTTGGGGTTAGATCTCTGTCCTATTCTCTGTCCCTAAATGAATGATTCCCAGCATTCTGTTTGCTTTTTGACGGCCGCTGCACATGGAGTGGATGATTTCAGAGAACTCTCCACAGTGACTCCAAGATTCTTCTTGAGTGGTAAATTGACCCATCAGCTGTGTATGTCTACTTGGGATTACGTTTGCCCATGTGCATTACTTTGCATTTATCAACACTGAATTTCCTCTGCCATTTTGCTGCTCCAGTCACCCAGAGGAACAGCCGTGTTAGTCTGTATTCGCAAAAAGAAAAGGAGTACTTGTGGCACCTTAGAGACTAACCAATTTATTTGAGCATGAGCTTTCGTGAGCTACAGCTCACTTCATCAGATGTATACCGTGGAAACTGCAGCAGACTTTATATACACACAGAGAATATGAAACAATACCTCCTCCCACCCCACTGTCCTGCTGGTAATAGCTTATCTAAAGTGATCATCAGGTGGGCCATTTCCAGCACAAATCCAGGTTTTCTCACCCTCCACCCCCCCACACAAATTCACTCTCCTGCTGGTGCTAGCCCATCCAAAGTGACAACTCTTTACATAATCAAGTCGGGCTATTTCCGGCATAGATCCAGGTTTTCTCACATCCCCCCACCCCCATACACACACAAACTCACTCTCCTGCTGGTAATAGCTCATCTAAACTGACCACTCTCCAAGTTTAAATCCAAGTTAAACCAGAACATCTGGGGGGGGGGGGGTAGGAAAAAACAAGAGGAAACAGGCTACCTTGCATAATGACTTAGCCACTCCCAGTCTCTATTTAAGCCTAAATTAATAGTATCCAATTTGCAAATGAATTCCAATTCAGCAGTTTCTCGCTGGAGTCTGGATTTGAAGTTTTTTTGTTTTAAGATAGCGACCTTCATGTCTGTGATTGCGTGACCAGAGAGATTGAAGTGTTCTCCGACTGGTTTATGAATGTTATAATTCTTGACATCTGATTTGTGTCCATTTATTCTTTTACGTAGAGACTGTCCAGTTTGACCAATGTACATGGCAGAGGGGCATTGCTGGCACATGATGGCATATATCACATTGGTGGATGTGCAGGTGAACGAGCCTCTGATAGTGTGGCTGATGTTATTAGGCCCTGTGATGGTGTCCCCTGAATAGATATGTGGGCACAATTGGCAACGGGCTTTGTTGCAAGGATAAGTTCCTGGGTTAGTGGTTCTGTTGTGTGGTATGTGGTTGTTGGTGAGTATTTGCTTCAGGTTGCGGGGCTGTCTGTAGGCAAGGACTGGCCTGTCTCCCAAGACTTGTGAGAGTGTTGGGTCATCCTTTAGGATAGGTTGTAGATCCTTAATAATGCGTTGGAGGGGTTTTAGTTGGGGGCTGAAGGTGACCGCTAGTGGCGTTCTGTTATTTTCTTTGTTAGGCCTGTCCTGTAGTAGGTAACTTCTGGGAACTCTTCTGGCTCTATCAATCTGTTTCTTTACTTCTGCAGGTGGGTATTGTAGTTGTAAGAAAGCTTGACAGAGATCTTGTAGGTGTTTGTCTCTGTCTGAGGGGTTGGAGCAAATGCGGTTGTATCGCAGAGCTTGGCTGTAGACGATGGATCGTGTGGTGTGGTCAGGGTGAAAGCTGGAGGCATGCAGGTAGGAATAGCGGTCAGTAGGTTTCCGGTATAGGGTGGTGTTTATGTGGCCATTGTTTATTAGCACTGTAGTGTCCAGGAAGTGGATCTCTTGTGTGGACTGGACCAGGCTGAGGTTGGTGGTGGGATGGAAATTGTTGAAATCATGGTGGAATTCCTCAAGGGCTTCTTTTCCATGGGTCCAGATGATGAAGATGTCATCAATATAGCGCAAGTAGAGTAGGGGCTTTAGGGGACGAGAGCTGAGGAAGCATTGTTCTAAATCAGCCATAAAAATGTTGGCATACTGTGGGGCCATGCGGGTACCCATAGCAGTGCCGCTGATCTGAAGGTATACATTGTCCCCAAATGTGAAATAGTTATGGGTAAGGACAAAGTCCCACAAAGTTCAGCCAGTCCAGGTTAGCCGTGACATTTTTTACCCACCTGCAGAAGTAAAGAAACAGATTGATAGAGCCAGAAGAGTTCCCAGAAGTTACCAACTACAGGACAGGCCTAACAAAGAAAATAACAGAACGCCACTAGCGGTCACTTTCAGCCCCCAACTAGATGTTCTGGTTTAACTTGGATTTAAACTTGGAGAGTGGTCAGTTTAGATGAGCTATTACCAGCAGGAGAGTGAGTTTGTGTGTGTATGGGGGTGGGGGGGATGTGAGAAAACCTGGATTTATGCAGGAAATAGCCCGACTTGATTATGTAAAGAGTTGTCACTTTGGATGGGCTAGCACCAGCAGGAGAGTGAATTTGTGTGGGGGGGTGGAGGGTGAGAAAACCTGGATTTGTGCTGGAAATGGTCCACCTGATGATCACTTTGGATAAGCCATTACCAGCAGGACAGTGGGGTGGGAGGAGGTATTGTTTCATATTCTCTGTGTATATATAAAGTCTGCTGCAGTTTCCACGGTATACATCTGATGAAGTGAGCTGTAGCTCACGAAAGCTCATGCTCAAATAAATTGGTTAGTCTCTAAGGTGCCACAAGTACTCCTTTTCTTTTTTTGGCATCTCGGCAAGTAGGACTCCTGGGTTCTCTCTGCAACTCTGCCAGGGGAGTGGAGTCTAGTGGGTCAGAGCAAGGGGGGCTGGGACTAAGCCGGGACACCTGGGCTCCACCTCATGCTCTGTGTTCAGACCCCGCCCGCATCTGGAGGACTTACCAAATATAAATATCCCAGATTCCACAACACAATAGTCCTCGGTGCCGGTGCAGGCCAAGACCCCCTTCCCGTTCCAGTGATATGGCCCCACTCTGAGGATCGACGGGCACTGCCGGCCGTTGGGGACGGAGCTCACAGTTGGCACTGAGAACAGTCAGACACACACAGTCAGCCAAGGGTGGGGAGTCACCACACATTGGGCTCAATCCCAGCTCGGGGAAGGGAGTGGGGTCTAGTGGTTAGGGATGGGGGCTTTGGGCTGGCAGCCAGGACTCCTGGGTTCTCTCCAGGCAGGTGTGGCCGGAGCAGGGCTCTAGGTTTGCAGCAGACACACACCTGGGATGGCCCCGGTGTTGCAGCCGTCGGTGTCACAGCAGGCGATGTTCGCCCGCACGGTGACATTGTGCGGGTAGGTCAGCGAGAAGGGGCCAGGCTCACAGTTCTTGGGCTCCAGGCACGATTTACCCGTGTAGGACATGGAGGATCCCTCTGTGGAAGAGAAATAGAGCATCACCTATGAACTCCCCAATGGACCCCCAGCTGCTCCATCCTCCCCTTTTGTTCCATCCACCCCACCCCCAACTAATCTCATCTCCCCACCCCCCGTGATAAAATCCTCTCTTCTGTCTGATCCAGGCCCCACAGCCACCCACTGCAATACCCCATCTCCTCCCATCCCCCGTCAATGACATTATCATTCCAGACTGAGCAGTCCCTGCTCCTGGAGAGGAGCGGAGACTATTGGTTAGAGTAGGGGGAGGGGCTGGGAGCCAGGATTCCTGGGTTTGACCCGTGGCTTCAGGAGGACAATGGTGTCTACACTTAGTAGAAATCTTCTTTCACTCACCCAGCCTGATCTCTGCCACGACGGTGACGCAGGTCCCTTCCCAGGGGGCGCAGGGCTGCAGGGGGCCGGAGCACGATTGCTCTCTGGACGCACACACCTCGCATTGCAGAGTGCTCCCTGGAGGTTGGAAAAATCCATTCTCAGTACAAACCCCAGCTCCACACCCTTCCTCAGGCAGTGCCTGTGGACGAAATACCACCAGCAACCAAGAGGTGGCGCTGTGGGAGTTGTTACCACCAATGCCTCCTCACTGAACGTGTGGGCAGGCAGATCTTGGAGAAATGCCACCTGCTTTTGCAGCAGTTCTGCCCAGTTCCATTTAACTCTCCGGATGGGGAAAGGCATCTTGCTAGCTGGTCATTTGTATCTTACTCAAAACCACAGACAAGTCTGTTTGCTGCCTGAGTGTCTGTGGCTAGAATACATTTTCAGCTGCTGACGTGGCTATCTGGGGTGCAGCTTGTGCCTGTGAACAAACCCCACACGTCTGTGTAGACAGAAAAACAAGAATTCGGCTGCTCTGAAGAGGGGTTTCTGCCTGGCTTTGCAGTGAACCTTTCACACACACACACACCCCGCCGTAACTCTCTGCTCCAGGCCTCTGCCTCTCAGAGTTACATCAGCTCAGCCACACTCGACTTCAGCCCACTTTTCATCGCTGATCCTGCCAATTCTCTTCTTCAGAATACGATTGACGCTTGTTAAGCCTCTGGATAGATGGCTGTGCACCTCCAGCTAGCGATCCCAGGAGCATCAACTCTTTCCTCTCCAGAGCGTGGGGGCCTTTAAATTCATTACGTGGGCATAAGGTAGTCTTAAGAAAGAAAGAAAGAGAGAAAGAAAAAGAAAGAAAGAAAGATTTTCCCACTTTGGTTTTTTTAGAGCATTCATGTGGAAACATCAATTAAACCTCAGAACACCTTCCCCGCCCCTTCTATGTCCCTAGATGGTTGCAAAGTTATATTATCCCTATCAAAGAAATATGGAAACTGAGGTAGAAAAAAGATGTGTTCAATTCAGGGTTAGAACCAAGAAGACAGCTGAGAAGTCCTCACTCCTGACTCCCAGCCCACTCTAACCCACGAGATCCCACGCCTCTTTCAGAGCCACGGACAGAGCCCGGGAGTCCTGATTTGCAGCCATCTCTGCTCAAACTCACTACACCCCAGCCCGCTTCTACAGCTGGGGAATGAGCCCAGAAGTCCTGGCTCCCAGCCCCTACCCGTTGCAGCCCCATTCCCCTTTCAAAGCCAGGGAATGAAGCCAGGAGTCCTGTCAGGAATCTCAGCGCTGACAGGCAGGGGAACATTTCTAGGCAGGATGACATGTGGACGGGGGTGCTGCTCCTCATCCGGATGACCCCAAGCTCGGGCGAGAGCTGGAGGAGGAACGAGAAGAAGGAAGGACAGACGGACTCACACCCGCTGGCCAGGCCCCTAGCATGGGCTGTGGGAGTCCCAGGCTCCAATCCCTGCTCTCCCCGAGTCAGCCAGGGGACGTGGCTCCGGGTTTTCCTCTTGCTGGTTTTACCCACAAATTCCATCCTGACCCCAGAATCCACCATCAACAGCAGCACGTTCCCCAAGTGAATTCCCAACCCCACCACCCGGCTCCCTGTGCCTGGGGACGGACGGGACTCACCTGTGGCCAGGAGAGTGGACAGCAGACAGAGGGGCAGAGCCACCCACATGGTGCCTGGATGTTAGCTGCAGTGAGCAGAACAGCAAGGAAGCATCTGGCTATGGTTTTATCCGGCAGGTTGGCAAATACCTGCTCCCTTGGGGATGGGCTGGGGCTGCCCCATGACATCCTGGTGGACCCGGAGATGGGAGATTTCACAACCCTGCACGTGACTTTGGCTGATCAGGTGATGCAATGTGTGTTGAGGCCAATTCCCTTGTGCGTGAGTGGAGATCGGTGGTTCTCAGCCAGGGGTCTGTGTACTCCAGGGGTACACACAGGTCTTCCAGGGGGTACATCATCTTATCTTGATGTTTGCCTCATTTTACAACAGGCCAGATATAAAGCACTAGTGAAGTCAGTACGAGCTAAAATTTCCTGACACAATGACTTGTTTGTGCAGCTCTATGTACGATCCACTGAAATGTAAGAACAATATTTATATCCCAGTGGAGTTATCTTATAATTACACAGTGGAACTGACAATCACAATGTGGCCGTAACACTTGTGGCTGCAAGGGGGTGGGTGGATTGGGACAGGACTGTGGGTGGAACCGGGGCAGGGCCACGGGGGAGGGAGCAGAACAGGGGTGGGACTGCAGGCAGAAGGGGCGGGCGGGCCCCAGGGCCTGCACAGCCCAGCCTTCCCGGCTTCTCGCTGGCCACCATGAGCCTGAAGTAGCAACCGCCGCCGATGGAAGAAAAAGAGACGTCCACCATGCAGCGTGCGGCCAGCTGCTCCCCAGGGCCGGGCAGCTGAGCTCTCACCGCTGTGACCTGCCCTGGGGTCCCGGTTGCTGTCCTGTGGATGCCGTCCCTCCCCTCGACCTCCAACCTAGACCTCCCCCACTGCAACTGGAGACCATTGCTCCTCGTTCTGTCATCTGCCACCACTGAGAACAGCCGAGCTCCACCCTCTTTGGGACCCCCCTCAGGTAGTTGAAGGTGCTATCAAATTCCCCCTCACTCTTCTCTTCTGCAGACGAAAGAAGCCCAGTTCCCTCAGCCTCCCCTCCTAAGTCACGTGCTCCAGCCCCCTAACATTTTCGTTGCCCTCCGCTGGACTCTCTCCAATTTGTCCACATCCCTTCTGTAGTGGGGGGCCCAAAACTGGACCCAGTACTCCAGATGTGGCCTCACCAGTGCCGAATAGAGGGGAATAATCACTTCCCTCCATCTGCTGGCAACGCTCCTACTGATGCAGCTCAAAATGCCTTTGGCCTTCTTGGCAACAAGGCCACCCTGCTGACTCATTGCCAGCTTCTCATCCACTGTAATCCCCAGGTCCTTCTCTGCGGAAAGGTTGGCAAATACCTGCCCCCTGCGGGATCGGCTGGGGCTGCCCCGTGACATCCTGGTGTGACCGGAGATGGGAGATTTCACAACCCTGCATGGGACACTGGCTGATCAGGTGATGCCAATGTGTCTTGAGGCCAATTTCCTTGTGCATTTGTGGAGAGCAGTGGTTCTCAGCCAGGGGTCCGTGTACCCCAGTGGTACACACAGGTCTTCCAGGGTGACTTATATCCCAGTGGAGTTATCTTATAATTACACAGTGGAAATGAGAAAGGAAGCTATTTGTCAGTCACAGTGTGGCCGTGACACTTTTATATATTTTTAGAAGAACATAAGAAAGGACCTGCCATAAATATAAAGGGAAGGGGAACCACCTTTCTGTCCCCGGTGCTATAAAATCCCCCATGGCCAGTGGCAAAACACTTTCACTTGTTGTCATAAATAGAAAGGGAAGGGTAAACTCCTTCATAATCCCTCCTGTCCAGAGGAAAAATCCTCTCACCTGTAAAGGGTTAAGAAGCTAAAGGTAACCTCGCTGGCACCTGACCAAAATGACCAATGAGGAGATAAGATGCTTTCAAAAGCTGGGAGGAGGGAGAAAAACAAAGGGTTTGTGTTTGTCTGTGTGATGCTTTTGCTGGAGACAGACCAGGAATGGACTCTTAGAACTTAGTAAGTAATCTAGCTAGGTATGTGTTAGATTATGATTCTTTACATGGCTGAGAAAATAGAAAACAGAGGTTTATTAGACAACAGGAACATGCTCTAAAACAGAGCTTGTGGGTGCAGAGAACAGGACCCCTCAGCCAGGTCCATTTTGGGGGGCAGTGAGCCAGACAACCCCGTCTGCACTTCACTCCACTCCCCAGCCAGCCCCAAACTGAAACTCCCTCCAGCCCCACCTCCTCTGGGCTTTCCCCTTTCCCGGGCCAGGAGATCACCTGATTCCTTTGTTCTCCAACCCTTTAGCTCTCACCTTGCAGGGGGGAAGGGCCCAGGCCATCAGTGGCCAGGAAACAGGGTGTCGGCCATTCTCTGTCTCCAGACCCCTGCACACACCTGCCCTCTCGGGCTCTGCAAGGATCATACACCCTTATCCCACCTAGATACTTAAGAACTGCCTAGGGGAAACTGAGGCACCCCCACACTATTCAGAGGAAACATTAAGAACGCTTCCACTTCCTCACAGGTGTGTCGGGATGGATGGAGGGGCGGCCCTGCACAACGGGGTGGTGGGACGATAAGTTGTCTGGAGGGTTCTTTGGGAGGTAGGTGGGGCTTTGGGTGACCCTAGGTAAGAGGGTGTGCTCTGGGGTTGTCCCTTCTGGTCTCCGCTCCAACTGCGACCAGTTTTCTTCTTCTCTGCCACCTGCACCCATCTGGCTCCGATCTCTCCTGCCTCGATTACAGTTTTGGGCTTCCCTTCTAGGATGTATCTTTCTATTTCCTCAGGAACACCCTCTAAGAATTGTTCCATTTGCAGTAGGAAGGGCAAATTTACTGGAGATTCAACACTTGCTGCTGATATCCAGGCATCCCAGTGATTCACAATGTGGTAGGCATGTCGGGTAAATGACACGTCTGGTTTTCACCTTAGGGCTCTGAATCTCCGACGAGAATGCTTGGGTGTTATCCCCATTCTGACTCTCGCCTTGGATTTAAACAGTTCATACTCGTTCATGTGTGCTTTAGGCATTTCAGCCGCCACCTCAGCTAATTGTCCACTGAGCTGCGGCCTCAGCTCTACCATGTATTGGTCTGTAGGGATGCTGTACCCAAGGCAGGCCCTTTTGAACTTTTCTAAGAAGGCCTCGGTATCATCGCCTGCCTTATAGGTGGGGAACTTTCTGGGATGGGAAGTGCTACCTGGAGAAGGATTGCTAGGGTTTGTTGGTATATTCTGCTGAGTCTTTACTTGCTCCATCTCCAGTTCATGCTTCCTCTCTTTTTCCTTCTCCTCCTCCACATGCTTCCTTGCCTCCATTTCCCTCCTGTGGGCAGCCTCCTGTACCTCCTTCTCCAGCCGCATGAGTTCTATCTGTCTTTCATGTTCCTTTTGTTTTTCCTCAGCCTGAAATCTGGCTAATTCCAGCTTTTGTTGAGCCGTGGATTCTGTCATCCTAACCTCTCTGTTTTTAACCAACTTTTCACCGGAGGTTTGGAAATAAGCAAACAAAACTTGGCTGTAAAATTTTGCTGTGCTGGAATAGGATACCTATTCTCTGATAGTGATTGTCAGCCTGCAGAAAAAGACAATTCCCTTTGTCTCTGCTCTGGCCCCAAATCAAAGCAAAAAACCTCCAACTACTTAGAAACCTGCTTATCAGCAGCCCCAAAGGAAAAAAAAATTCGTGTTCAAATCTGTGCTCCTTCGAAAAAAAAAATCAAAATCCTAAAAAAAAAAAACCCCTGCCACTTTTGTCTCCAGGCAAATGGGTGGAACACCCCCCCCCTCCCATTTAGTTTTAGGGGGGAAAAAAACCTCAGGTTTTCGAAGACTGTGAATTTCCCTGCAGGAGATGAACTACTCTGTCTCCAGGCAAAGAAAACCTGCAATTCACAAAGATAATCCCCTTTTGTCTCTGCTCTGGCCCCAAAGCAGAGAAAAAACTAGTTGCTTTCAGTTGGACCTCCTTTCCAGCAGCCCCAAAGGAAAAAAAATATTTCCTTTTTAAAATCCGTTTTTCTGGTTCAAAAAAATCTCAAATTGATCTCAAAATGATTTCAGGTTAATCCCACCACTCTGCCACCATGTCAAGGTTCCTTCCCACTCTGAACTCTAGGGTACAGATGTGGGGACCTGCATGAAAACCTCCTAAGCTTACTTTCATCAGCTTAGGTGAAAACTTCCCCAAGGTACAAATTAATTTTGTCCTTTGCCCCTAGATTTCCACTGCCACCACCAAACTTTAACTGGGTTTACTGGGAAACGTAGTTTGGACACGCCTTTCCCCCCAAATCCTCCCAACCCTTGCACCCCACTTCCTGGGGAAGGTTTGGTACAAATCCTCACCAATTTGCATAGGTGACCACAGACCCAAACCCTTGGATCTTAGGACAATGAAAAAGCATTGAGTTTCCTTACAAGAAGACTTTTAATAGAAGTAGAAAAGAATCACCTCTGTAAAATCAGGATGGCAAATACCTTACAGGGGAATTAGATTCAAAAGAGAGAGAATCCCTCTAGGCAAAACCTTAAGTTAAAAAAAGACACACAGACAGGAATATCCATTCTATGCAGCACAGCTATTTTCTCAGCCATTTAAAGAAATCATAATCTAACACATACCTAGCTAGATTACTTACTAAGTTCTAAGAGTCCATTCCTGTTCTGTCCCCGGCAAAAGCATCACACAGACCCTTTGTTTTTCTCCCTCCTCCCAGCTTTTGAAAGTATCTTATCTCCTCATTGGTCATTTTGGTCAGGTGCCAGCGAGGTTACCTTTAGCTTCTTAACCCTTTACAGGTGAGAGGATTTTTCCTCTGGAGAGGAGGGATTATGAAGGAGTTTACCCTTCCCTTTCTATTTATGACAACAAGTGAAAGTGTTTTGCCACTGGCCATGGGGGATTTTATAGCACCGGGGACAGAAAGGTGGTTCCCCTTCCCTTTATATTTATGGCAGGTCCTTTCTTATGTTATTATAAAAATACATAAGTGTTACGGCCACATTGTGACTGACAAATAGCTTCCTTTCTCAGTTCCCCCGTGTAA